ATTCTGCTATACCACGCTCGCGGTGCCTGTTTTAGTCCGTAAAGTGCTCTCCTTAACTTATAGACTTTCTCTTCTTCTCCCTTTTTAATGAATCCCTCTGGTTGTTGCACAAACACTTCCTCCTTGAGTTCACCATGAAGAAAGGCACTCTTTACATCGAGTTGAAAGACCTCCCAACTGAACTGAGCAGCCATTGAAAGTATCACACGAATGGTGTCAAGTCTCGCCACCGGAGCAAATACTTCAGTGTAATCTATTCCATGACGCTGCGCATACCCTTTTGCAACCAATCTTGCTTTGAATTTCTCTATTTCTCCAACTTCATTACGCTTAGTCTTGAACACCCACTTAACTCCGATAGGCTTTACTCCTTTAGGCAATCGTGTAAGCTCCCAGGTGTGATTCTTCTCTATGGCCTCAATTTCTGCTGACATTGCTTCCCTCCATTTCTTGCTTTTATTTGCTTCTACAAATGTAACAGGATCAGTGACTGTCAGCATTACATTGAGATTCTCTTCCTCTGAAAGCCCCTCCCCTGTTTCATAAGCTGTCATCCAACTTGGTGCTCTTCTTTCTCGTGCTACCCTCCCTTCAACTAATTCTCCAGTTGCGTCAAGCACTTCAGGTGTACTTGGATTTTCCTCATTTGAGGGTGTCTCCGTAGGACTGTTGCTTGAATTTCTTGTTTCACCACTTTCTTCTTCAATCTGATCATCACTTTCATCTTCAATGATACCATCACCACATTCTAATATATCTCCCTTGATCTCCTTGTTTGTTCTGCCCCAATCCCAGCTTTCTTCTTCTTCAAAAACTACATCTCTGCTGATGATAATTTTCTTCGAAACCGGATCGCATAATCTCCAAGCTTTTGATTCTTCAATGACTCCTAAAAAAATACATTTTTTGCTCTTATCATCCAAATTGCTCCTTTTTTGATCTGGCACATGGACATGTGCTACACAACCGAAGATTCGAAAATACTCCACCATTGGTTTCTTGCCACTCCATGCCTCTTCCGGTGTTGTATTTTGAACTTTTGCTGTTGGAGATCGATTTTGAATGTGCACACACCATCGCACAGCATCCGGCCAGAAAGTTTTGGGAACTTGTTTCTCACTCAGCATGGATCGGACAGCATTCATAATTGTCCTGTTCTTCCTCTCGTCAACACCGTTCTGCTGGGGGGTATAGGCTGCTGTCAATTGCCTACTAATGCCTTGTGATCGACAAAATTCTCTGAACTCATTTGAGTTAAACTCACCACCCCTATCTGTCCTCAAACATGTTATATATGCCCCTGTCTCCTTTTCAACACAAGCCTTGAAGTTTTTGAATGTGACAAAAGCTTCGGATTTTTCATGCAAGAAATAAACCCAAGTTTTACGAGTAAAGTCATCGATAAAACTTAAAATGTACCTCTTGTTGCTGCTAGAAGTTGGCGTGATAGGACCACATATGTCTGAATGGATTAGCTAAAGCGGTTTTGATGCCCTCCATAAGCTTTTCTTGGGTATGGGCTCTCTATGTTGCTTTCCAGACAAACATGTGGTGCATATCTTCTCTGGATTTTTCAACAAAGGTAAACCAATTACCATCTTGTTGATAGACAGCATTCTCAATCCCTTGTGATTCAAGTGCCCAAACCGGCAGTGCCATATGTGAGCTTCTTTATCAGCCACTCCTTCAGTCTTTAAGCACATGGAGCTCTTTGTTTCCATGGAGGCTAACACAAAGAACATTTTGTTTCTACTCATATCACTTTGCATAATCAAACCTCTCTTAGGATGAAACACTTTGCAAGTCCCATTTTGAATCATGATTGCTAATCCCTTCTCTTGAAGTTGCCCCAAGCTTAATAAATTGTTTTTAAGCTCAGGAATATAGTAAACATCAGTAATCAACTGGGTTATGCCACTCATTTCCACTCTTATGCTTCCTTTTGCAACCACTGCCATTGTTGTGTCATTCCCAAGTTTTACGGTTCGGCTAAACTCTTCTTCCAGATCAAGGAACCATTCTCTATCCCCGGTCATGTGATTACTGCATCCTGAGTCGAGGAACCACACCTTGTCCCTCTTTGTTTCATGATGTTCTACATATGACATCAACAGAAGCTCCTCTTCTTCTAACTCAGCATAATTTGCTTTCTTTTCCCAATCAGGACATTCATATTAAAAGTGCCCCAACTTATGACATTTGAAACACTCAATGGTTGCTTTGCTTTGAGGTTGTCTTCCTCTACCTCAACCACGTCCTCCTCTGAATGCGCCTCGACCTCTTCCCCTGCCTGCTCTGTCTTCATGAGCCACTTTCAACAAATGTTCCTCCTTATGATAGTCATGCATCCTCTGTTCTTGAACCAACAGACTCCCGTGCAATTCATCGATGCTTAACGTACTTAAATCATTTGACTCCTCTATTGAACAAACAACATAATTGAATTTGGGAGTCAAAGACCTAAGTACCTTACTGACCAATGTACCATGCTCTATTGTCTCGCCATTTGACTTCATTTTGTTTACTATAGACAAGGTTCGACCCAGGTAACTGTCTACCTTTTCTCCTTCTTTCATGGTGAGAAGTTCAAACTCTCTTCTTAATGCCTGAAGTTGAGCCCTTTTCACCTTAGTGGATCCTTGATACTTCTGCTTCATTGAATTCCAGATTGCCTTTGACGTCCCTTTGTCAAGAATTGTCTCTAGAATTTGTCTATCTATTGCCTGGAATAGATAGTTTTTGACCTTCAAATCATTGAGTTTGGCTTCGTCCACCATCTTCCTCTGTGCGTCATTTGCTGATGACGTCCTAATTGTCGGTGCCAGTATTCCTTCATCCACCAGACTCCACATCTCCTTACTTCTCAAAAAGTTCTCCATCGGCATCGTCCAAAAATCGTAATGGTCATCGAATCTTGGGATGGAGGGTTGCAGAAATCTCTCTGATGTTGACATTCTGCTCTCTTTCTCTCTCTCTGTTTTACTCACACCCTTTCACACAACCAGGCCCTTTACAAAGCTCTGATGCCAATTGTTAAAACTCAGAGACAAATATAACAACGGGAAGGATGATTTATTAAATGATAGCAAACTGAGGCTATATATATTTTCAATACAACGTGTCTGAGAGAGTAAATAGCAGTTACATATAACAGCCCTATAATGCAGTGGAAAGAATCAAAGCACTAACTAAACTCCTAAAGAATAGGTCCTCCTAAATACTAGGACTTTATTAAACAAACTGACAAATAATTAATGACTAACTCTATGAGTCATGGCATTCAGTTAAAAGCTAGCATAAACAGTTTGAATTTCACTGCACTTCCTGCGTGGTACTAATCGAGCATGGTATCCACATGTTCAATGTGTACATCCAGATCTACAGTTTCATCATTGTTGTCCAAATTTGGTGTTTTATTAAGAGACTTTGGAATGTTATAGTCAATAATATGCTTCAAAAACGTGTTCTTTCGACAGTGAGAGGTGTTTTGGTCCTTGGCGTTCTGCCCATACTTTTTTTCAGAATGATGTGAGGAAGATCTCCTATTTTGGCGTTTTTGGGAGGTGTATGGCTACCATCTTCGCCCGTTGATCCATGTGGAGGAGAGTAGAATGCTCGAGGACGACAATGTGTAAGGTGTCTCCGTAGAGAACTGTGTTAGGTGTAGGTCCATAATTACCATGCTGAAATGCTTCATGTTGTGTGTGGAATCGCGACTGAGCTATTTGATGGTTTTCTTTTACTCGCGAGAATTTCTCTGATAGAAGGTGTGCAATTTGCGACTGCACTGAATTGTAAATGCTTGACATGAGTTCATTCTCTCCATACATTCTTAGTATGGTCTGAAATTTTTCAAAACTTTGGAACGATTCTTGTTCAGGTGTTTGGGCTTACAATTAAGATTGCTTAAAATTTTGGAGTAAGTTGGGAGGACAAAAGGTTTGAAATGTTCCTCAGTCGATCGATGGAATAAATAGAGCTTGAGGATCGGCATGACGGCTTTGGCTAATTGAGCTGATTTGGAAGCCACCATTATCGGTTTCGATAATTAACAGTGATTTGATCGACTGACAAGAGCGCTTGGGACGACGCAATCGAAATGTTCTAATGGATTCGACGTGGAAATTCGTGAGAATTAGAAAACGACTCCCACAGACGATGTCATTATTCTGGTGTAGAATAGAATATTGATGACATGTTGATGTAAAGCGCTTTGGTGCATTGGTGCATCTCTTTGATACGGTGGAGTGGAGTGGAGTTACATCTAAGGTTAGCACTTCAACGCTAAAGTCAGTGAGAACAGAAATGTGTAACTTTGCTAGAGTGAATGAAGTTGTAAATATTACAACGCGTAGACAAGTTTATATATGGTTGGAGGTTGAAACCACTCCTTGTTAGCAGCTAAACATGGATCGAGAATACTGTTAGATTTAATCTAACAACTTAAGATGAACAATTGGTTTGATTTTGTCGCGCGTCCTCTTAACTGGAGTCCATATTTTTATTAATCTAATATGAGAGTGTAATTGATTGAACTCTCCCGTATTAGACCGGTTTTATTGAGCCTTTTGGCTGGCCCCTAACAACCACCCTACCTAGCATCACCATAATGAACATCACTTGCTCATAAGTTGTTCTATCATTTCCCATTTTAAAAATAAATAGATTTACCTTTATGAAAAATCTAGTTACCATATTCTCTATGAATTATGATTCCTATATCGCTTTCAAGTTGCTTCACTAATTACGTTGAATAAAAAAAAGATCCAAAGTGTCACACTCTCGATTGCGTGTGAAAATCGTAGAGAAGAAAATTATGGAAGAAAAGTTTTAATATTGTCGCTAGTGTTGAGTAACACTGCTTCTACGCGTTTTTGTATGAAAAGACAAAAAACAGACATAATAATAATACATGTACAGCAATAATTGTTATAGAGTTCCATTTCATTTGAGTTTCTTGTGTAAAATTACAATCTCAACATATTTCATAAAAAAAAAATATGATTTCAATTATCCCAGTTAACAGCTTCTTAAACCACCCATTATTATGGAGATTTACAGGTTTCATATCAAGTATAATTGGATTACTCTGCTACGCACTAAGCTCCTCTTTCAAACATTTATTTGGAGAGTGGAATTTACCAAAGATTTTTGTCTATGTAATTGTAAGTTTCATCACGTGTAGCGTTGTGTTACTCGCAAAGAAATTCCAACTATCAAGGAGTGTAATATTAAAAGCTCACATAGCGTTTTTAGTTATTATGCTAACATCTGTTTACTCATTTTTCAACGACAAAAACGTGAATGGAAAGTCAGATGTATTAGGTTTGATTTCATGTGTTGCTTTTGCTTTCATGTCATTAAGTTTGTCAAGACAAATTGACATTGGATTTGAGGTCGATTTGCTTAATTTTTTTCTTGGATGTCTTACGGTGCAACTTATGAATTTTAATTTGATGTTTGCTTTTATTGGAGGTGTGTTTTGTTATTTTGTTATTGTTCTTCGGGCTTCTTTGGATTCACAGCAAGAGGGAGTTGGGACTGTTGATGCCACTGTCTCTGATCATGTTGCCATAGAAATTGATGGTGCCGCAAACCAAGAATTAACCTCATTGCGCAAAAGGTTAGTTTATGATAGAATATATGCACTTAGATGATTAAATATGAAATACATTATGATATTAATTATGATTTTAGGCATTTAGTTACATGTGCTCGAGACGAGATGCACCCAAGGAAGAGTTTAGCTGCTTATGACGAATTTGTTGATGTTGCACAACGTATAAGAGCTGCATTTAGAGAACACACGGAAAAAGAAATAAAGGAATTTCAATTTTTCAGTCAAGAAAATGAAGCACGTAAGAGAGTTGCTGCAATTAAGATTCAACGTGCCTTTCATAACTACAAAGCAAGGAAGAAGACTAAGGCTGCTATTCGCATCCAACGTACCTTCCGTGCAGGGAATGTTGGCAAAATTCTTACATCGTCTAATATTATAAAGAAAGAGGAAAATTAAGGCTAAATATACATATTATAATTATAATGCTAAGTTATAAGATGCATCAATCATAAGATGTATTTAGACATCTTATATTTTTGTATTTGAGTGTTATAAAATGTATTTAGACATTTTCGTAAAAAAATGAAAGTAGATTTGATGGAGTTGTGTTTTTTAAGTTTAAAAATGAAAAAAATTATGTAAATACTTTCATCTAAAAAAAACGGAACAGACACATTAGTGGTGAGACTATAAAATTTTAATTTGTTCTATAAAAATTCAGATAAAATGAGCATGTCCGAAAATTCGGATCCATTTTGTCACCACTAACTTCATCCATGTCATCACCAATATCATCACCTCCTAAGTTGAATACTTCCAAACTGATCTACATAAGCTGCATGTTTTTCACTATTAAAAACAATAGGCTGAGATAAGGAGGCTATAGCAGTTTGGGGGTGGGGGTTAACATTTTGATAATATCTTCACACTTTATTCCTTGTAGAGGACGTGGCTATAATCTCTTGGAGATCATTTGCTTCATGAATTGATTCCTTGAGAATATGACTTCTCACAGGCTCAAAAAGACAAGCAATAACTAATATTTCTTTATCAAAACCCAAATTAGTTTCATCAACATGAGCAACAATGAGTATTGCAATGCCAACAACATGTTTCTTAACAAATAGTTTTTAACTAAAATTCAACACATTCGGGGAAGAACCAATCTCATCATCACGAGTAACAATATCATTCTTTTGGATACTCAAAATATCATATATTAAAGAGGGAAAATCAATAGGCAATTTGATAGCATGTTTAACAAAATAATAAAAAAATATATTCTCCATAATCCAAGGTAGCAAGAGCTCATATTTGGTACAGAAGACCAGCGAGGCTAGGAGTGATACTTGATCCATGAGATGAGGAAGCTTAGTTATCCACTCCAATTCTGTATAAGATAATATACTTCACACTTAAGTTAGCGGTTACCAAAATACTTTGTGAAGTGACCTAATCCTCTTTCTAAAAATTGATAGAGGTTCGGTCTAATGAAATGACCTAATACTCTTTCAAAAATTTGATCTTGAGAGATTTTAGAAGGTTAAGCCCACGAACCCCCTTATACAAGGAACTAAATTTTTAGAATGAATTCTAACCAAACAGTGAATAGGGATTGAAGCGGTTAGACTTCTCACCAAACATTAAATAAGCTTGAATATCAGAAGTTGTTGGGTATAATGCAACCGTTGAGTATTCCAGAATGGAGATTGGACAATATTTCTATGGATTTTGTGTCAAATTTTCCCAAACCTGCTAAGGGCAACGATTCGATTCGGGTGATAGTGGATAGATTGACTAAATTGACTCAGTTCCTACCGATGAAGATTAATTATTCCTTGCAGAGGTTAGCTGAGTTGTATATTGAAGAGATTGTGAGACTGAATGGTATACCTTTGAGTATTGTACCGCATAGGAATCTGAGGTTTACATCAAGGTTCTAGGAGAGTTTGAAGAAGACTTTGGGTACAAAGTTGAAATTGAGTTCTGCTTATAATCCACAGACGGACAATCAAACAAAAAAGACTATCCAGTATTTGAAGGGTCTACTGAGGGCTTGGGTGCTAGAACAAGGTAGTGATTGGGCTAGCTACTTGCCATTTATTGAGTTTACCTAAAATAACAGTTTTCATTCTAGCATTTGAATAACACCGTGCGAGGCATTGTATGGTAGAAAATGTATGACTCCTTTGTGTTGGTATGAGTCAGGCAAGAGTGTTGTGCTCAGATCTGAAATTATTCAGCATACGACTAAGAAGATCAAGATGATTCGAGAGAAAATGAAAGCGGCACAAAGTTGTAAGAAAATTTATCATGACAAAGGGAGGAAAACACTTGAGTTCCAGGTGGGAAACTACGTCTTTTTGAGGGTTACTCTGGTAATTGGTGTTGGAAGAGCTCTGAAGTCTCGAAAGCTCACGCCATGTTTTGTTGGTCCGTACCAGATCTTATAAATGATAGGAGAGGTGGCCTATCACACTGTCTTGCCACCACCACTTGCTAATCTTCATGATGTGTTTCATATATCTCAATTGAGGAGATACATTCCTGATCCGTCTCATGTGGTTCAAGTGGATGATGTGCAGGTAAGAGATAACCTGCTTGTTGGGACATCACCTATATGATTAAAGGATCGGGAAGTGAAATAGTAGTGTGGTAAAGAGATTGTCTTGGTGAAAGTCGTGTGGGGAGGACCAAGTGGTGGGAGTAAGACATGGAAGCATGAGGGGCATATGAGAGAGTCGTATCTGGGTCTATTTTCCTCAAGTAATTTTCGAGGGCAAAAATTCTTTAAGTGGGGAGAGTTGTAACACCCCATTTTCAATTTAGTTATTTAATCAATTTATCCATGAATTAATTATGAATTGGTGTATTTTATCTTATTATAATATGTGGGGTGCAGAGATTAGTTGGAATAAGTAAAATTATTTATGATTATCTTAGTAATTAAATAATTAGAGTTTACTTAATTAATTGAGTCAATAATATTGGAATAATAAAATAATGAGAAAAAGGGGAGTGTGTAGAGATTTTGAGGGCATTGATGTGATAACAAGGTTAATTTGAGGTTAGTATAGGGAAAACATAATTATGAGGAATATGGTTATTAGAAACAAGAGAGCAGTGAAGAGAAAGGCATTTGCAATACTACGTGAAAAACTTGGAAGAGAGAAGAGGAGGGTTGGGGAAAGAGGAAAGAGAAGAAGAGCTTAGGAGAAAATGTTCAAGGATTCTTTCATCTTTGTTGGAAATTCTAAAATCTAAGGTAAGGGGGAGGTGTGCTTCTTCAATGGGTGGTAAAGCATGAGGGGTAGATGAAGGAATCCTTAACCTTCTTAGGGTTTGGTGTTTTGATTCATAATTTTGAATTGGGATGCTATGATGGTTGTTATATTATAATTATATGATGAATTTCGTGTGCCTTATGTGCGTATTTTTTCTGTTTTGATAATTGAACCTATATCCATCATTGTTGCAATTTCAAAGGTTTTAGGCATAATTTTAAAAGAATGATTTGATGATTTAATTGTCTTAAATTGTAAATTAACTTGAGATAATTATAACATTGCATGAGTTATAATTTTCTTGAGCATTTGGGTATTTACGGAAACAAAATCGATGGTCCGGAAGGTCCCCAACGATGAAAAATGCAGAAAATTATGCATTCTGTCTGTCAGGACCACGCTCAGCGCGGGAACTGTTCGTATTTTTCGGTTGAAATCATTTTGGCCATAACTTTTGATCCGTAAGTCCAAATTGAGTTCCTTTTAAAGCGTTGGATAGCTGAAACACATGGCTATAACTTTGTTTCAAGGATAAAATATTTTTGGTGATTATTTCATAGACGTTTTTTGGGTTGAATAAGATGAAAATTGTGCTAGAAATTTTAGAAAAAAATAACAACTTTTTAGTAACGCCTTCGTTCACAATTTTGATAAAAACTTCCAACTCGTGAATCATTTTGGTTGAGGTTTGAAGCATTATAAATCTGACGCTTAGAGATATAACATGATAGTGATAGGTGAATTGTTGGAGTATTATTCCTATGCCTACTGTATGGGAGAAGTTTTATTCATATGTTCAGTTAATGAATTATTGACATATCCCGACGAATTTGGTCATAACTTTCATTTCGCAAGTCCGATTTAGATGTCGTTCGAATTGTTGAAAAGCTAACATGTTAAACTACACATTAATAGTGAACTCCTGGATTATTAAACTACGATTATGTGTGTACTATTTTCGTGGTTTCATGATGATGATATGAACTATTTAGCGAAACATTTAATTTCCATTGATGAAGAATTATTGTGGTAAATTTCTAATATAATTGCAAGTTGTTTAATTGTTGTGTTTTAATGAAATGTGAGTTGTGATCTATAGTTTCAATGTAAAACTATCCGGTTGAGGTTGTGTAGGAAATTTTGCGGTTTGATGTGATACTGTTTGTGTTGTTAAGTTGTGGTGATGATGTATACATTCATTCATGCATCATGAGTTGTTGTTGTTGTGAAAGAGGAAATTATAGGTTTCGGTGTTGGTGATTGGTAATTGTCTCAAGTTTGATGTTGTGGCTTGGAGCTTCGAATAGGGATCAGGTTTGTTGAGTGAAGCACATGGGTTCGCAGTTGATTGGGACCTGGTTTGTATATGGAATCATTGTTGAAGTCGGTATCACATGCATATGAGTCTGTTGATGTTGTCGAGAGTCACATTTGCATATTGGTTATGTATTACTGTGAAGTGGATGAAACTTGAGTACATGTCTTGTGGTGTATAGTGGATTATGTTTGAACTATATTGTATGGAATCTACTCTGATTTTTATGCACCATTGATTATTTGAATGTATTTCTCACTCCTTTTGTTTGAATGTTGTCTTTACATGAGCTTCATGCAGATACTCAGGAGTAGCATTTCTGAAGTAAGTAAAAGATAGCTCTTAAAGTTACTTCTTTAGTTTATCGCATTGACTAGTGATGCCTTGATCTAATCATGTAACATCGAGTTGAGGATAAAATCTTGAATTGATTCTTATGTCGTTTATGTTTGAATTCACGACTATTTATGTTGTTGAGATTTCTAAGTTTTTTTGAGTTGATTGTTATGAAACTCCTTTTGTTTATGTTATGAAGTTAACATTTAAGAGATAAGATGTTGTGAGTTGCAAAAGTGTAGTTAATTTTTTATTAATGATTCCATAGCAAGGACACCCTAAACATCATATGAGTTGGACGTTGTGTAAACATCCCAAGTACAGACCAAATGAGTTGGATGTCGTGTAAACATCCCATGTACAAATGTGTGTATTAAACTATTATGTTGTAACATGTGTTACAGAGCATGTTATGTGTTTATTGTGGGTGACACCTTGAGGTTGTATTATGTTTAGTCAAATTTCTTGATAATTTTATGTGTGGGGGTTAGGGTGTTACAAAATTGGTGTGTGATACCAAG